TGAGCTATCAGCTTTGAATCAGACCAATATTCTTTAGAGCTAATCTCTAATTTAAAGCCTACTTCAAATATCTTTCAGACAGATTTTGCTTCTGTTTTCCTGTCATAGAACTGTGGACAGAAATTTTTCCTGAGAGATTTCTTAGGATATTTAATAGCCTTTTAAAGAGATGGAGAAATATCTATCTAACATCCAGTTAAAATATTGCAAAATTTAAAGATTTGAATTCTGCATGTATTTAGGGTTGCCAGGTCTGCTTCCAAAAAATAGCGGACAAGCGGGGGGGTGTTAAGTAGTAAAAAAATAAAAAAAATTTTTACAGTTAAATTATATATTTTCTTACAAACATTTTAACACGTATTAAAATAATCACTTCAAAACTTAACTTAAAATTCAAAACATCAAATATATTATAATAATATGTAAAATATTAAATTACATTTTAATTTCATCATAAAGCTTTTGAATAAAAAAAAATGTCCACTATTTTGTGAAAAAAAAAATAGTGAACATAATGTGAAAAAAGCGAACTGTCCGCTCAAATAGTGGACACCTGGCAACATTACATGTATTTGTTGCTACATAAACACCTTTGAGGCCTTCCAGGTAACTTCCATAAGAATTTAAATTATATAGAAGGGAATCAGACAAAGAAAGATTTTATAGATTCTGTTACAGCTAACAACCAAGCTGTTTGCATAGTTTATTTTTATAATTATGCAAGTTCCATTTCACTAATAGATAAAATGGCAAAAGTCTGATTAATTCTGGGTATTTGAAGAGGGTCATACAATACAGTATATGTGTATTTTTAAGAATGGATAGTATGGCTCACCCCAAGAGTCACACAAGGCCAAAATAGTTCAGAGGATACTTTTTGATAAAAAAAAAATGAAATAAGATTTTAGAATGTTTATTAAACCTGAAGTGAGAAAATACAAGTTTCAAGCACTCATAAGCACTCTTAACAAGTCACTTTCTACCCAATAACCTTAGCCTTCCCTGAAAGGTAGGCCTTGCTAATGCTTATTGACTAACAAATTTGTTATGCATCAAGTTATGTAGACAGACTATCAAATCAGTGAATTGATTAATTTTATCAATATTGTGTAAGGAATAAATGAAGACCACCAGAATGCAAACTTTAACTTCCTTAGAAACAGGAATCTAAAATGATTAGAGCAAAGACAACAGTTATCTTACATTATCTCCATTTATTGCATTCCAAAATTCCTTTGTAAGGCGCTAACTGTGAAAAAAAAAAAAAAAAAAAAATTTAGCTAACTTAGTGGCCCAGTAGAAATAGCACAAACAAAAATGCATGGAGCCTCAAAGTTAATTGCAATTTATTTCTATGTTATAATTTCCAAACACATTCATTCCAAAATCAGGGCATCAACTACTATTTATACTGTCAAAAGCTTATAAAGGTCATTAGTTTCAAGTTTTGAAACTAATTAGTTTTTTAATTTTTAAAAAATTAGAATTTGAGTGTGCAAAACCAGATCTCAGCTGCACTTTATATTGTAAACTGGGTTAATATTTTCTGGGGGGAAAAATTCTGGGCACATAAACTCTGTGTAAGAATAATCTGGTTACTCTTCTTCTGCCCAGCTTAATTTTACGTTGCAACTTTTATTTTATGGATAATACAATAATCCAATTCTCAACCTTCGTCCTTCATCCTAACTGGCATATACCAGGTAAGGTTTAAGTCAAATTGCAGCAAGAAAGGAGAGGCCAAATCTCTGCTACTGTTCACCCTGTAAAAGTACCTATTTGGCATGGCTTGGATAGGGAGGTCAGTGAAAATAGCTAGTGCTAATGACCTTACCACCCATGCTCTCCTGGAAATGTGACCTCTGTTAAAAATTGCTAGTTGTCATCCCCTGGTCTAAGTAGAGGTGACATAAAATAGAATTATTTTGGTTTCCCAACCACTTACTCAACTCTGTATACATAAGCTAAAACTTTTACAACCCATTTGTATGAATGTTTACTCCGAGATAAGCAGCACCACCATAGAGCCCAGTGGGATTTGATTCTTAATGCAGTTGCTGTTTTTTCAATGTTCCATTGAATTCAGTGAAAACTTAACTTTTCAGCAAGTGTGCCATGCATGTTTCCTCAAAAGTCCTAATATACTTATTCCCAGCCTTACTTGGATTTAAGGGTAATTATGTTAATTATTTTTCTATTTCCTTTATAATTTGTACGCCAACCAGTCACCTTATAGAGATGGGGAGCATAAAAATTTTATAAACAAATAAGCTTGTTAAAATTTGTGGGATTTATTTTTCAGTAAGTATGGTGTATTTTTGCAGTTTAAAATTCAGTTCAACAGAACCTACCATAACTGAACTGAAGCAACCTTTACTTGGATTTCAGTTTTGTGTGTGCACATTATCAAAACTGATATGAAAATGTGAAAGGCTGAAAATCTTTTATTGCTCAGTCTGCAATGTCTGCTATAAATGTCCATTAATATGGCTTAGAATTTGCTTTTAAAAAAAAAAAAAGTCAAAATATGTCGTGTGTGTATTCTCGCCATAAATGTTATTTATAAGTGGAGATTAAATAATTATGAAACATCTCTCTGGATCCCATCCTGTTTTCCACCACCAATCTGGTTCAAGATGATACATGAAATCAACTTTGGAACATCAGGGGAAGCAGTTTCTAATTATTACTCAAACATCCTCTTCTTGGATAGATCATTAGGTTTTATTAGAAAAAAAAACTAAAATTAGCCTGCATATATATCCCTTATAAAAAGTTATGAGTATATTTAAAAATTGTAAGTACAATACAATTCAGAAGCATTTGTTCAGAAACTACTTCATCAGGCCTGGCAAAGTACTTTAAATTTCAACTTTGCTCATCAAAGACAGGGGAGGGTTGTATAAAAAGTAGAATTTGCCTGATTATACCATAATATAAAGCAAGTAACATTCATCAGATTTAAATGACTGAAGCACAATGAACAAACTGAAACATTAAACAAAATTCACAACAGCCACTTTTGTTTTAGAATATTACGATTCTTTCTTTGTCCACCCCCCCCCCCCCCCCCCCGACGAAACTGGTGAATCCTGGATGTCATTTCCTTTGGCACCGGTTCTGCCATCTTCAAAATAAAATTCTCGAATTTAAAACCGGCCAGTTTATTCTCGCACGACTAAGTTTTTAACGCTCCCGTTTCTCCTCCATCGAAAGCGCGGCGTTTGAAGGGGGTGAAGATCTTTGCAAGAGGAACTTCCCCAAAATTGCACGTTAAAGGTCCGCTGGAGAGGCTCGCCTGCTTCTGTTCGCTTTTTAAACGTTGACAGTGCTCTGACTGCTGGTCAAAGGCTCGCCGCCTGAACAGCTTTCACGTGTTTTGGAAACACTTCGCCTCCCTGCACAATTAAAGCGAGAGGGGGAAGGGGCGGCAGAGAGAGAGAGAGGAGAGGGGGGGGACTTTTCTTTCCAGCCGGCGGCGGGGATTGCATTCCTGCCCGCCCGAAGGCACCGCGGGGAAGCAGCGCTCCCGCATCTCGCGTGGAGCCCGCAGTCCGGTACTAGGGACCGGCTGTTACGCGTCGCTATTAAAAAAAAAAAGTAGTACATTAACAATAGCTTCGGCTTCCTTCTGCAACGGTTATCGATCTGCAAAATGCCTTTCCCCTCCGCCGCTTCCCCGCGTTGCATTTCAATCGGGAAAGGGAAGTTTGAGGCGGTTGGGGAGGAACAATTACTTTCTTCGACGGGGATGGAGGGAAGAGACGGGACTGGGTTTTTTTTTTGTTTTGCGCGCTCGGCTCCTCTTTGTAAGGCTCCCACTTTACACGCGATCTCTGCAAAGGTAGCAGAAAGGATTGCGGGTTTTGGGGGGGGGGGGAAGGAAGGAAGGAAAGAAAGCAAGCGGCAAATCGTTGCAACCAGGCGAGGGGGCTGCGCGAGCGTCCAGCTCAAAGGAGGGAGGGGGCGCGCACCGAGGCTCCTCCTCATCCCTGGCGAATCTAACAAAAACAACCCGCCGCCAGCGAATGAGCCGCTAACGGGAGTGAGCAAACACAACAGGAAGGGGAGAGGAGGGGGGGGCGAGATGCCGAAGAGCCACCCCGGGCATCCCCCCTCCCCTCCTTCCCCCCCCTTCCTCCCCCGCCCTTCTCGCAGGAGCGACTGCAAAGCTTCGCATGGATGGCCGGGTGCGAGGCTGGCGCGCAAGGAACTTGCTTCGGAGAACCGCCAGCCGGTCGAGTCCTTTTTTTCTCGGTTGTTTCAGAGTTTTCCTCACGCCCCCGGTTTTTTTTTTTTGGGGGGGGGGACTTCAGATGAAACTTTGGTTGGCCGCTTGATGCTCACGTCGAGAGGCGGAGGAGGCCGGCAGGAGAAAGGGCTGCTGCGTCCTTCGGGGGAGGTAAGAGCAAACCCTTCGCGATTCGCCTTGCGATTCCGGCGGCCCGCTTGAACCGTCTTCGAGGAGGGGAGTTTGGAGGGCGCCTCCGTCGGGGGACACGTGCGCGGCTGAAGTCCCCGCTCGTGGGTGGGTGAGTGGGTGGGGGACTTCTCTCCGCCCGGGTTTGCGGGTTGCTTTGCACAGCCGGTTTCTTCGGGAAACTCTTTCGGGCTCCTCCGAGGAGTCATTTGGAGCGGACCGAGGTTTTTGCCAGGCTCCCTTCCTCCGGCGTGAGGGAAAAAAACCCCTTTTCCCACGCTTCGGAGGCCTTCTGTCCGGGAAACCGGAGCGATTAATGGCCCTTCAGGCGAAGGGGGGGGGGGGGGGGGGGGGGGGGGGGGGGGGACCCTCGCAGGCTGCGTCGCAGCCGGGTGGGCAAGCCGGCGCTTTCGTCGAAGGCAGCGCCGAGGGCGGCCTCGAGGCCGAGCTCTCCTGAAAGCCCCGCCTCCTTCCCCCTCCCCCCCTTTCCACTCCGTCCGGGGAGAATCCCTCGAGCCAGCCAAGGGGATGCGGCTGTCGACGCGCCAGGGGGATGAATCAGGCTCCCGCCGCGCGCGCGGGAGAAGGAGCGGATCTGAACAAGCAGTAGTAAGGGGGCGGGGCCTCGCCGTTTGGTGCGGGGGGCGGGGCCGCCTCTGATTGGGCCGCGCGGCCTCTCGAAAGCACTTTGTTTTCTATGCTAATGAGGGCGGGGCAGAGGAGTGTGGATATTTACGTGGAGGCGGGAGCCACCGCCCTTCATTTTTTTTTTAATCCACATGGTGTTTTTTTTTTTCCCTCTTCCCCCCCTCCCCTTTCCTCCTCCTCCTCTTGATGCCGCCGCCATCATCCTCGTCGCCGCGGTCTCCTCCCCCCCCCTCCTGCTTCCCGCCCCTTCCGTGCTTTCTAAGAAGAGCGGGAGAAGGGGGTGGGGCAGGCGACGGTCGCGGCGGTTGGTTGCGGGTGAGTTACGGGCTCTTGCCGACCTCGGGGGCTCGGCGGCGGGAGCGGGTCGGGGCTCGGCGGCGGACGCGGCCAGGCGCCGGGAAGGAGAAAGAGAGTATATGGGGGGGGGGGGGGGGGGGGGGGTTTGGGGGGGGGGGGGATTGGCCGGGGCGCATGGCCGGCGAGGGAGCCCGCTGTCCGTCCCTGTGTGTGTGTGTGTGCGCGCGCGCGCAAGCCGAACGGCGGCGGCGCCTCCCGCACGACGAGAGGTCGGCCGCGCGCACGGGGGCGGGCGGGGCCGGAATGAGGGAGATTTGAAAAGGCCGCGCGGCGGGCCGCGGCAACCGCCGCCGCCGCCTCACTCGGGCTGGGAGAAGGCGGCGAGGCGGCCCAGGGCCTGAGGTAAGCCCGACGCGGTTTGGCTGGGAAGGCGGCCCACGGCTTCGGCTTGCCTCCCTCAGAACAAAAGCGGCGCTGGCGGGCAGGCACATGGGGCACGGGGCGAGGGAGCTTTTCTCCACGCGGGCGAAGGGAAGCGGGGCGGAGGGGGACCGCTCCCCGTGGGGGTAGAGTGGCCGAGCCGCGTTGAGAACCGGGGCTCCGGCCGGACCTGGGAAAAGAGAAGCGGGAGGTCATCCGGCCCTCTCCGCGTGGGCTTTTGTTCTGGGAGGGGCGGGGGCGGTCTTCGTTCCCTGGGCCCGGCGGGTCGAGCGCCGGACTTTTCGCCGTCCCCGGGGCCCCAGCCCTCTCCCGGCCTTCGGTGCCAGGCGCTGAGCCGCGTAGGGAGTCGGGGCCGCGAGAGAAGTGCGAAGTCGCCGGCGGTTGCGGGGCCGCGGCGGCGGCGGCGCCATGTTGCCGAGGGGGGGCGGGGCCGGGACATGGCGGCGGCTGCGCGTGCTGAGGCCGATTGTTCCTCACTAGGCCTCGGCCATGTGGGAGCCTCGGACGCCGCCGGTGCCGGAGCGGGAGTCGGCGGACGGGAACGGGGCAAGGGGCCTCCCCCCCGGGCGAGCCGAGACGAACCGAGGAGGCGTGTGAGGGTCCGGCGGCCTGCGGGACGCGAAAAGGAAGTACAAGCTCGGGCCTGGCCGGCGGGGGTGGAGGGAAAAGCAGCGGGGCGAAGGAAGCGAAGTGCGACGCGCTGGTTGCCGTGCTCTGACCTGCCGCCGCAGCGCCCCCTGGCGCCCATGCCGGCCTGGTCCGGTCCGGCGCGCAGCACGTGCTGCTCCGGAGAAGCCGCGAGCCCGGCTCGGGGGGCGCCATTGTGTTTTCCCGGCTGCTTCCCGCCAGCTCCAGTTAGCCGGTCGTTGCTCGGGGCCGCCTTGGCCGAATTACCCCGTTGGTGAAACGCCGAGAATAACTTACTTTCTTGTTTGTCTTGTCTTTAGGTGTGGCGCTTTCGAAGTTCAAAGGCGGAGAAGCCGGGCGCGGGGGGGGGGGAGAAAAACCCCGGTTTTCCCTCCCTCCACGAGAGGCCTTTTTTTTTATATTTTTATTTTTTAAAAAAGGTCGACTGGTTTTATCATCTCTTGGCGGCGGCGGAGCAACCGGGAGTCGGATGTTTTGCCCTGCAGTTCAAGCCAACGGAGTAAGTTTTCATGGCATCGTTTTGGAATACTTGGGTGAAGAGAACTTGTTCGCCTTGGGGGAAACTGTCACTGGAAGAAGGCAGCATCGCTGCAAAAAGAAATAGAAATGTAGTATATAGGGGGGCATCTGCTCTTTCTTTGCCTGTTAAGTCACTAGCCTTAGATTTCAAGTATAAGCGTGCCTGAAAACTGCTTTCATTTTTACTTGGAAGTATTAAATGTTGCGTTCATTCATGAGCTGGACATTTTTTTTTATTGGGTTAATCTGAAATCTTTCAATATTCACTGGAAAGAATTGCTAATTTAGAAGCAACAGGTGTTGATAAATTTTCAGTTATACGTGATAACTATTGTTGAGAATAGAGTAAAATACTTATCAAGACTGGTGGAAACTTACTGGCTTAGGCCTATAAACATTAATTTTATTAAAATACAAAATGCAGTATTGAGCACTAGTTTATAAATAGGTTTTGATAAAGGATATTCATTTTGGTCGATAGCTTTCATCATATTTGTTATGAAGTACAGTATGGTTTAAAAAACCCTCATAGTTTGACCATGTAATAGTTAGATACCCAGTTCAATGAATTATTCAGGCTCTGCTAGTTAGATCTATAAAACGTTTTGATATTTCTGCTGAAGATGTTTGATATTAGATTTTTTCTTTTTTACAATAAGTGAGTTTTATGTTTCTATTTGCTTATACTGAAAATTAATGGAAACTTTGATTTTCTTTTTGTCAGGTGAAAAAATGTTTGAAATAAGAAGATCCTGGTCATGTTAGAATAATGTCAAAGTGCTTACAGTGCAGGTAGTGATTTATGGAACCTACTGCAGTGAAGGCACTTGTAGCATTATGCTGGCAAGCGCCACAAAGCATTTGAGAATTTACTCCACAGTGACTACCGCACAATAACTGCTTTTTGTTCTAAGGTGCATCTAGTGCAGATAGTGAAATAGATTAGCATCTACTGCCCTAAGTGCTCCTTCTGGCATAAGAAGTTGTATTTTCTTCCAGTCACTTAATACAGAAAGTAAAATTTAATAATGTGTTGCAGTCTTCTGTTAGTTTTGCATAGTTGCACTACAGGAAGAATGTAGTTGTGCAAATCTATGCAAAACTGATTGTGGCCTGTTATTATCTTCATGTCTACATTGTGAGTTAATGTACACTATCCTCCACAGTACAAGTGATCCTAAATGGCTCCTGTAGCACTAAAGTGCTTATAGTGCAGGTAGTGTTTCATAATCTACTGCATTAGGAGCACTTAAAGTACTACTAGCTGAAGAACTTCATATCTATCCCGTTTTTCCTTGTTTCTACTTTTAATGGCTGTTAAACACTGTTCTCTGGTTAGTTTTGCAGGTTTGCATCCAGCTGTGTGATACTCTGCTGTGCAAATCCATGCAAAACTGACTGTGGCAGTGAAAAGGCAAGAAAGTATACTAAGTTTGTACCCCTTTCTACACAGGTTGGGATCGGTTGCAATGCTGTGTTAAATCTGTGGTATTGCACTTGTCCCGGCCTGTTGAGGTTGGTGGGGCAAGAATCTGCAGCAACTTAAGGTCCCTTCTCAGTTAATTGTTTGGGAGCAGCAATTGGACTGGTGTAGTGATCAATGTAATTCTTTGAATCTAAAATAATTTTTATTAAATGGTGTAATGATGCTGTTGAGTACTTTTTCTTCCACTGTTGGCAAATGAGCTTTAAACATATAAAGCAACCATGTATAACTTAGTATTTACAATAAATCACAAGCTTTAATATTAATAAAATGTGGTGTTTTGTGATTTCCTGAATTTAAAGTAATGTGTTACTTGCCCAAAAAGTAGTTGAAATAATCTGCCCAGCTGTTTTTCTAGGTCCATCACGACATTCTCACCCACATTATCTCTGTAACATTTAAACATTGTGAATAATGCCATCTCTTTAGGTCCTTTTAGAATAAAATGTAAGATAGAAATTAGCATCTCAGTACATGAAAATTAGAAATGGTACACTAGAAAAATATTAATTTGAGGAAAAATGGTTTATTAAATTTAGAAGGTCACACAACTCCATAAAGATGCTGACTGATATAAGAACTATAAAACAGAAAAAATTAACTTCAGAACAGAAAACACTCGGATTAATTTTTGAAACTGGGAAGGACATCCAGCCTGACCCAAGACCTGGGAGAAAAGCCAGGTTTCCAGAAACCGCAAACAACAAGCCACATGGATGTTGATGGGGTAGTGCAAGAGAAGATTGCTTCTTATGGGTCCTGTCAGATTGCTGGAGGTACTTGAGCCAATTATCCTAATATTGACAGACTTGGAGTGTAATTTTAATTCCACAAAAGAAAGTGATGCCTGTTAAAAACATTTCCCCCCTCCAAAATGATATGTAGAGAAATTCAAAATCTTTTTCAGATGATACCCTTTCGTGGGAGCCTTTTATTAATTATAAATGAAATTTGATAGGGGTTGGGTTAATACTTCAGATTTAATAAAATATACTTTTACTACACACGGTTTAACTTTGAATCGTTGTAACTTAAAAGAGTTAAGTTGTAAGTCAAGTCTGGTTCTTAAAGCAATTTGTATTACACGTCATTGTCCTAAAATTCAACTCTGGAATAGTTTGCTTGATTTTAGAATTTGGACAAATGCTAGATGGCAGGATGGAATTGGTGATGCCAAGCAGGGTTGGGCCTCATTAGTCCCTGGATTGGAGATAATTAGGAAATTCCAAGACTGGAAGTAGAATTGGAGTAAAAGTCCAATATACAGGGAATAGAGTAATTCTGGCATGTCAAAAATTTCAATGAAGTTGATACAAAAGTATTGGGAAATACAACATTGTTTTGACACATTCATAAGTAAAGGTAGATTCAGTTAAGTCACAGGCAATTACACTTGCTTTGGATAAGTATCATGATGCAATAATTGTCAATTGAAGTGGCAGGTAATTTACCAGGGGGGTCAGATTGCCTGCAAAACTTAACATTTCTTAGCAAAAACTACAGCTTTGTGATGAGTGTCCAGATCTGAAGCTAATTTGCTCACAGGTCAAGTTGTTTCCAAAAGAGATCCAATCTAAATATTTGTAAAAATAGAAACCTGGCATAATTTGGTAAGATAAAAAACTTGGTGGATAAATTTGATGTCACCTGGGTTGTACTATATGAATCGAGTCTAGCCAGTTTTTGGAAGACAGGTAATTGTAGCTGAGGAAAAAGGGCTAGTATGGCAGCCACGATATAAAATAAATTTTAGAAATTCAGGAACTTGGAAGCTCAATTGAGAATTTTAGGGCATCAGAAGGTGAAACCTGAGGATTTTCAGAAAAGTTGAACGTGGGGTTTGGTGTTTTTGAGTAGTAATATTTGGACAAAATTCCACAGACGCTAAGTTACTGTCAGTTATCTCCCATGAAGCTGGGAAACAAGATGAACCTAGTTATTTAGAACAGTTTTGTTTTCTTTCAAGATCTTAATAGATTTTTAAAGAAGTAAAATATTTCATAGGATTCCAATGAGGTAGAGAGCATCTGCAATTTAAAGTACTCTAGAAAAAGTTCTAACTATAGGAAAAAGGGAATTGAAAGATATTTTTGAGCAAGGCTGATAATTCAGAGATGTCATGAGGTTACTGCACCTATAGAATATTTCAAATGAGTAGCCAATGGGGCAGCAAAAAATATTGGGATAGGTAATTCGATATATTAACAGGCCATGAGACCAAATTAGTGTAAACTAGGAGAGAGGTGAATGGTTGATTTGAAATGGATTACTGGGTTCAGATAAATCAAGGCAAAGATATGTATGTGATCACTTTTTGATTACTATCTTTACAGTAAAAAAGATTGTACTAATACATAGCACATAGAATAATAGGGTTGGAAGAGACCTTGGAGGTCTAGTCCAACACTTTGCTCGAACAGACCCTACACCATTCCAGAAAATGGCTGTCCAGTCTACTTGAAAGTCTCCAGTGATGAAGCACCCGCAACCTCCAGAGGTAAGATGTTCCACTGATTAATTGTTCTCACTGTTGGGAAATTTCTCTTTAGTTCTAGGTTGGATCTCTTCTACCCATTGCTGCTTTTTTCTGTACTGGGTGCTTTGCTCTTGTCTCTGGCAAGTACTGAAACACTGCTATATCACCCCGAGCCCTTCATTAGAGTAGATGAATCTAGCCACCTTATTTTTGTTGCTCTTCTCTGCACTCCTAGGGTCTCAATATCTGTATAGTGACCAGAACTGGACGGAGTATTCTAAGTGCTCACCAGTACAGTCCTATCACTTCATATTATCTTGAAACTGTCTTTCGATGCAACGTAAGATTGCATTGGCTTTTTTGGCATTTGTCAATGAAATTTCATTGCCCATTCAGGACATCACTTTCATACTTTGCCCTCAGTAACTGCCAATATACATTGCATAGCCCACCAATCTTTCCACCTTTTATCCTCACATGATTTAGATCTCAATCCCAGCCTTTTCTTAGCTACCACCACAACCACCATCTGCCGTTATCTCCACTTCTCAGAACAATTATATTTCTGTCCATAACCCAAATAAAAACCTCATGCATCCATTTTGTTTTATTTTTTTTGTTTCTGGCATGGAAGCAAGATACTCTGCATGAGACATACTGTCAATAGAGAGGGTAGCGCATCTGTACTATTTACTATGTTATTTAAGAAAAAAAATTGTCAAGGTCATTTTTAATTGAAATAAATTTCCATAGTAATGGAAACAATAGTTAAGCATGCTTTGAAACTGGTCTACAGATAGTTCAATAAACCATCCACTTGGCCAATTAATTTGTTAATTAGCTCTAGCAAGCACTGAGCAGGGGCTATCCTATTTTTGTAGCAAAGATAAATTAAGCAGTTTTTTTCAAGTTCCATTGTCCTCAGTAACGGCACAAATTGTTCTGATAATGTATGAATTTTATTCTGACAGAATAACTTCAGTATTTTTCAAGTTTGAAACAATTAGCATACTATTGCATGCACATATCTAGTGTAATATTTAATATAATAATTTAAAACAAACATTAAGGGGCAGATTAACCGTTCTAGGAATGATGCTGAAACAAATATCACCAGCTTTGACAATAGCCAAAGTACTAGCAGAATAAGTTTCTTCTATCTGCTTAAATGATAAGGTATCCTAGATAGAAAATAACAAATCGGAATTAATTTTGAACATTTACTGAATAGCCTTTTGCTCACTGCAAAGCAGTCTTTCTTTGTTCTTGGCCTACGACAACTTCATTGTAGAGTATGTAACAAATACAAATATTAATAGGTAGGATTTTCCACCTATATAGGGTTAATGCAGGAATCCTCCTGGTTAATTTTGCCTCATTTGTTTCCAATGAATTCTGAGACATTCAACTTCTGTAACATTTTTGTAATTGCCATAGAAAAGGATTTTGGTTCCAATGACCAGCATATTACTTCCAAAGTAATTTAATTTTCAGGGAGGTTTTTTTTTTTAAGTGCAGGAGGTGGCAAATTGGGGGGCCGACGGGAATGGGAGTGCAGCTACCGCTGGGCCTGCCCCCTCCGTCCCACTGTCTGCTTGTCTGCGGCTGTAACGGGGCAAGCTCTCAGCATGCCCTGGCCTCCACCCACCCTGCCTGCTGGCCCTGCTGCTGCCGGGACACTTCTTGGCCACAGCAGGTGCCATGCTGGCCACCAAGCTGCTGTCCATGCTGCTGCTAGCCTTGGGACTGTTTGTCCACCTGGCAGGGTGGGTGGAGGCTGGGGTATGCTGAGAGCTTGGCCCCAATTGAGGCCACAGGCAAGCAGACGGGGACGGAAAGGGCGGGGACGGTGGTACCTTCCCAAACACTTTTCGCCCAGAGGGAGATGAAGCTTTGTGTGCTTGCAAAGGGAAAGTTTTGAAACGGAGCTAATCATTCCGTTTCAAACCGTCCCCTTTGCAAGCACACAAAGCTTTGAATCTCCATCATTTCTCCGTCTGGGCAAAAAGTGTTTGGTCGCCTATGGGGTGTTTGGGAATGGAGCAATTTGCTCCATTCCGAAACATCCCATACCCACACCTCACTTTGTGTGCTTGCAAAAGGGACAGTTTGAAACAGAGTGATTAGCTTTGTTTCAAAGCATCCCCTTTGCAAACAGACAAAGCTTCGTCTCCCTCTGGGCAAAAAGTGCGCAGCAGAGCCAGGTGGAAGCAGAGACGATCCCAAAGCGCCGCCCACTCCGTCTCACCATCTCAGCTTGCCTGCGGCTGCACCAAACAAGCACCCACATGGGGCATTAGGATCACCTGCCTCCCCCATGCCTCTGCTTGCTGCCAGTGCCACCGTGCAAGCCTCACGTGAGTCAGGCAGCTGAGCAGCACCTCCAAATCACCTGTCTTCTTCCCCCCGCCTTTGCCTCCACACTCGGACTTATTGGCATTTGAACTGCGCCAAGAGGCTGGTGGGCTGTGACTGCTGCTGGGCCGTTGGCCCCCATGCGCTCGCTGCCTTTCATGCTGGCCACACCCATCCCCCCAGGCTTATTTTCGCCATAGGGCTTTTATTGGGCCCACCCAAAAAAAAATCAGACTAGGGCTTGTTTTTGGCGTGGGTCTTATTTTGGGGGAAACACAGTAGTATGACAAATTATTCTTTTTCATTTAGAAATCCTGAAATGGTAAGTGCCAGTTGACCATCTGGGGTGCTACAGATCAGTTAATCTGAGTAATACTAGGATGATTCTGGAGCAAGTAATTTATAACACCTTGGAAACTATACAGTAATTACAGATATCA